GGGGGGGCGGGGAGAGGTTTTTGCTATAGGGCGCGTGCACTTGCCAGAAAGACAGAGAGAGACAGGAAGACAAAAAAGCAAGAAATAACCACCCAGTGCGGGGATGGCCATGCCGCAATCCCCTTTCCTCCATTCTCCTCTCAGGATCTTGGGCACGCACGCACACGTGCTCAGCATGAGTTTAAGCCACCAGATCCGAGACTAGAATCATGATCGACTACGTGGGAGTCCAGCAACATAGCCATTACACCAACTGCTGGTCCCCAAATTGCTACTTTCTAAAATTCTTTCCTTCTGTTATTTTCTCATTGGAAAACCAAAACTTCTGGTCAGTAGAAGTTTGTCCAATTAACAGCAATATTCAGACATTTGTGAATTTTTCCTACTGCTTTTTTCTGGTAATATTTATTATACTCAACCTTCAAGGACTGTTTCTGTTCATGGGGCTTTAAACAATTAGTACCATGACCTCAGTTACTGTGTAGCACATAGTGATTATTTTTTCTTTTTTTCTTTTGGAGAGATATTTTTGCTATAGGGCATGTGCGCTTGCTGAAGAGACAGATAGAGAGAAAGTGAGAAATCACCCCCCAGGAGGAATGGACACACCACAATCTTTTCTCCTCCATTCTCCTCTCGAGATTTTTGGGCATGCATGTACATGCACTCAGTGTCAGTTTTAAGCTGCGGGGTCAGGGACTGGAACTGTAGTCAACTATGTGGGAGTCAAGTGCTATAACCATTATGCCATTTGCTGGTCCCCATAGTGATTCTTACTGGATGAGAAAACCTTTACTGATTGTAGACTCCTATAATTCTATGTCTCCCTCCTAATCCATACCCAATACCATGGCCTTTTATCTTCACACAGCAGATTCAGAAGGTTATTCGCCTTTAAGTGTCTTTTTTGTTATTTTACTTACTTACAATATAAAATGAGGGTTGATAAATGGGGAGCATTTAATCTTTTTTTAAAATAAATAAACAGGAGAGTGGAGCTAAAAGGAAGAAATAGCTGCTCTAGTTTATTTCACTGTGAAGGTCTCAGGGTTTCTTACATGTTTTCCTATTTTCGCTCTTTGTATTCAAGCTGTGCTTCAGTGAGATGATGCAGTGGGTACTGTTATATACACACAGAATTCCCAAAGACTCAAGTAGGTTAAAGGCCAAAGAAAGCAAAACTGAAAGAAGATAAAACAGGAGAGTTTGATTTATTTTCTCCTGTATCATATAACCTCCCCATGTCTCTCTGTAGTCTTTACAATGTTTGACTTGCCTATGAGCTAATAGTGTGTAATCCACATTCTCAATGGCATGAATAGAACCGGGGAGCTCGAATGTTACACAAAAGGAGATCCAGCTGGTGAAATGTCCTCCATCAGTAGATCAATGAATGTCACTGATGTAGAATTTGTGTGGGCTATGTTTATGAAAAGGGTTCTGTATAGTTGCACAGAGTTGCTGTTGGGATTTATCACACTTTTCAGAAATTTATTGTCTTTGCGTTTGCTTATCTTACAAATAAAAGTTTAAGATCTAGTTTATTCCATAAAGTTCTATTAATTCTTAAATAACTATATCTATATTGTAAGTTAATATAAATATAAATTTTTAAATACCTGTGGGATGTTACCATTCTATAGTCCTAATTTTTAGTAAGTAGAATTTCTTTTCTTTCTTTTTTTCTTTCTTTCTTTCTTTCTTTCTTTCTTTCTTTCTTTCTTTCTTTCTTTCTTTCGAGAGATTTTTGCTATAGGGCACGTGTGCTTGCCAGAGAGACAGAGAGAAAGAAAGTGAGAAATCACCCCCCAGGGGGAATGGCCACATCGCAGTCCCTTTTCTTCCATTCTCCTCTTGGCATTTTGAGCACAGACATGTCCACCAAGCATGAGTTTCAAGTTGCCAAGTTCAGGATTCAAACCACAGATGACCATGTAGGAGTCCAATGCCCCAACCACTATGCCTCCTGTGGGACCCAGTAAGTAGAATTCTTAATTGAGTATACTACATTGTTACATACATTTTAAAAATGATCAGGTTATGTTCCCCCAATTATCCCTTGTTTTTGTTAACTTTTTAAAGACTGTGGAAAACTCTGTGGATATTGTCAAAGTTTGGGTTTGTTTTCTCTGTGTATTATAATAAATTTGTGGTATTACATGTATGTGTATTTGTGTATTTCATTTTGGAATCTATCTTGCATGTGTTTGCCTATCTAGGTAGTTTTTTAATCTAAATAATCATTGTCCAAAGCAGTTTACAAATCTGTTGTATATTTCTTATGTTCAGAGCACTTTGCTAGACATCTAAATGGTACAAAGATGCATAGAGCATAATTGGGACCTCTCAGACCTTGCAGAAGGGCCCCTAAGATTATGCTACTAGAGTAGTCTATAAAAATTGCCAAATGAGTGAAAGCCTTTAGCAAACAGAGAAGACCCTGTGAAGGAATTTGTATTTAGGTTGTCTGTTTAAGATGTATATAATTTTGTAAAGAACTATTTATCATTATTATTATTATTATTTTAATTTGCTATAGGCACTTACCAGAAAGAAATGAGAGGAAAGCAAGCATGCCTGGGACCTGAACTGCGGTCAGCCATGTAGTAGTCCAGTGCCTTAACCACCACACCACCGGCTGTCCCAAGATGTATGTAATTTTGAAATGAATGGTGGGTTAGAGGACATGGTGTTTTAAGAAAAAAGAAATAACAAATTTTAAAAGAGTAATTTTGCCATAATAGCTGGAATAATGGCTCTAGCTAATGACCCTAAGTGGTTGCCAAAACAATTAGGTGAAGGTTGATGAGAAAGTTTGTTATGCTGACAGTCTGTGCCTTCAATCAACTGTGGTGTCATTCAAAGTGAGACATCAGACATTGTGTTCCTTAATATGCCATAGTACTATGAAGTGTTCTGGCCAAAAAAAAATTTTTGTATTTGAATCTAATCACTCTTCCATAAATTGCCAGTTACAGAAAATACAGTAGACAGAAGCAGGTGTTGTGGTGGCTAAGGGCACTGGACTCCCACATGGCCAACTGAGCTTTGAGTACCGGACATGGTGGCTTGCTTTCTCACTTTCTCTCCCTCTCTCACTCTTTTCCTTTCTGGTCAAATTAAAATAAATAAATAAAAACATTACATGAAATAATTCTTTTAAAAAGAGGATCATTCAACCGAATCCAGAATATAAGGAATACTATAGGACAACGATGAGTGACCCAGTTTCTTCAGCAAATAAATAACATTAAAAAATAAAAACAAATGAAAACAGAGTAGAACTTTTGTAGATTAAAGAAGATTTAAGATCTATCAACCTGGGGCCAGCAGGTGGCATTGTGGTTAAGGTGCTAGACTATCACATGGCTGACTGTGGTTCCTGTCCCGGACCTGGCAGCTTACTTTCTCACTTTCCCTTTCTCTCTCTCTTGTCAAATTGAAAAATCAAATAACAAATAAAATTAAATAACTCTTTAAAAAAAGATATATCAATCAAATGTTATTTGGATACTGATATGTGCAAACTAATCACAAATGGGTACTTTGTACCTTTCAGATATAACTAAATATATACTAGATATTAGAAAATGTTTCAAATTATTAACTCGGGGTGTGATTGCTATTATATATCTTGGATATATTTTTTAAAAGTTCCTATCTGTGAAGATATACACTGAAGTATGTATATGTAAAACGATAGATTCTCAGGTTTAACTTAAAATACTCTTGTAAAAAGGAAGGGAGTCTTTTTTTCTCCCTGACTGCTTGAGGATATACCGCCATCATGAATGACACAGTAACTATCTAAACCAGGAAATTCATGGCCAACCAACTCCTTCAGAGGAAACAAATAGTCATTGATGTCCTTCACCCCAGGAAGGAACAGTACCTAAGACAGAAATTTGGGAAAAACTAGTGAAGATGTCTAAGACCACACCAGATGTCATCTTCATGTTTGGGTTCAGAACCCATTTTGGTGGTGGCAAGACAACTAGCTTTGGCATGATTTATGATTCTTTGGATTATGTGAAGAAAAATGAACCCAAACATAGACTTGCAAGACATGGCCTTTATGGAAGAAAAAGCCGTCAAGAAAACAGCGAAAGGGACGCAAGAACAGCATGAAGAAAGGGGGACTGCAAAGGCCAATGCTGGTGCTAGCAAAAAGTCGAAGGAGTAAAGATTCTACAGTGACCATCTGCAGTGATTGTGCGGATTCTTCATGAGAGGATTAATAAACTAAAAAGTGTTCATGTGAAAAAAAAAAAGGAAGGGAAGTGATCATTGTTAGACTTGAGTAGTGGGCTCATAGGAGTTTATTATACTCATCTCTACTTTTGTGTACGTTTGAAATTTTCCCACTTTTAAAAGCATTTGTATATTATAATGTTTTATGAAAATATTATTTTAATTATTAGGAATCAAAATGACATAATTATTCACCAGGGGTCAGTCAGTACTTAGGGCACTCACTGCATCTAAGTGTCATGAGAAAGTTTAAAATGCTCGTGTGTGGTCCCTGCCCTTAGAAGTTTGCAGTAACATTAGAAAAAAACAGGCCTATGTAAAAATGTAGGAAGAAACAAGGCGGCATACATGTTAACAAGTGAAAGGCTGATTAAGGATTTGCAATGTCCATTTTCCGAGTGTTGAGTAGTTAAACCAATAAGCAGGTGTTCATTGGGAACCACTGAAGACTTTAGATCAG